AGGGGCTCTACTACTGAGCCACGCCCCCAGCCCCTCACTGGGGGATTCCAGACAGGTGCTCCACCACGGAGCCATGTCCTCAGCTCTATCCCTACTGACTCATTAGACCAGATAAACTGACTTTCAACTTGTTCTGTAGCTCAAGCAGGCCTCAAGATTGTGATCCTCCTGCGGTAGCCTCCTCAGTAGCTAGAAATTACAGTACTGAGTCACCAGGTCTGGTTTGGCTATATCCTTGGTAAAAAATATATTAAATAGATCTCTCTCTCTCTCTCTCTCTCTCTCTCTCTCTCTTTTTTTTTTTTTTTTGAGATCTGCCTTGGGAATCTTTTTCAGAACACCAGCCTTGACACTCCAATCATAAAACAACCAGTCAGTGAATACAACAGAGCATAGATGGCCCATGTAGGGCGGGCTCATGTAGGGACTTCCTTAACTACCTTCTTCACAATACTGAAATAGTAAAGTCAGAAGCCAAGGAAGAAAAAGTTGATTGAAAAAGAAAAACTGAGGAGCTGGGGAGATGGCTCACTTGGTAAAAGGCCTGTCTTGCAAGCAGCAGGGCTTGAGTCTGGGCCCCAGAACCCACATTTAAAAAGCTGGACACAATGGTGCACACATGTAATCCCAGCACTGGGAAGCAGAAACAGGCCGATCCTTGGTGATAGGTGACCAACCATCCAACCTAGCCTACCTACGTCATGTGCTCCAGGTCAGTTAAACTGTGTCCAAAAAAAAAAAAAAGATGGTATCCAAGGTTGACCTCTGACTGCCACACATGTACCCCATACACACATGTGCATATGCACACACACATGTATCAGCAAGGTGGAATATGGGGACTCAAATCTGTAATCTTTAAGAATTTAGGGTTATCCTCGGCTACAGGGTGAGTTTGAGGCCAGCCTGGGCTACACAAAACCCTATCTCAGACAAACAAATAAGAAAAAAAAGTTTCTTCCTGAGAGAAAGGCAACTATACAATACTGTAGGCACAAGGCAGGAAGATGTCCCTTCTTATAGGACTCGGAGCTACAGACACTGGATGCCCTGAACACCACACTGCAGAGATACTGTGCCGGGATTAAACAGTCAAGCTCCTATCTGGCCCCCTGTAAGGTTATTTTAATGTTATTGGGGGCTGGAGACACGGCTCGGCAGTTAAGAGTGTGCACTGCACTTGCAAATTCCTTGGGTGTACTTCCCAGCACACAAGCTAGGTGGCTCACAGCCATTCGAAACTCCAGCTCCAGGGTACCTGAAGCCTCTGGCCTCCGTGGGCATTGGTACTCAACATGTGCACATCCATGCAAGGTTAAACATCCTAAATCTCGAAACAGACCACTGCAGGCTGTGGAGCTCGGAGCCAGTTAAAACATCCTTTTGGGCTTGCTAGAATGGACGGGGTTCTCTACACTCCTTGACATCCCTCAAGGACCAATGAGGCATACTCGTCTGGAGTAAGGACGATATAGCTGGGTATTTCTAGACTTGGGACAAAATGGGTCATGGTGGCTGTGACCTATCTAGAAGCTAAAGAGACATCTTCGAGTCCCTGGGCTGGTGTCCGATGAGACAAGGACCTGGGAGGAACAGAGTTTCCTTGCCCTTCTTGTGGGTGGTACCCAAGTTCTGGGTACCAGAAAAGGAAAAGGAGGCTCTGGGCACCCCGTTCTATAGACCGCATGTATTTGTTCTGTCATGCTGGAGACGGGATTGAGGACCTCTCCTAGGGTAGTATTCTAGTGCTCTGGCACTGAGCCACACTCTCAGCTCATTTTTTAAAAATCAACTTTGAAACGGGATCTCACTAAGCTACTGAGGCCGGCCTTGAACTTGCCATCTACCAAGTCTCAGCCAATCAGGGTTCAGGCGCTAGCAAAATGGTACCTTCAATGGCTCTCAAAGCCTGTGTAGGAAGGATCAAGCAGGGTCCTCTCAGACTACAGTGGTCCCGATGACCCCCATGGCTCTGATGGAGAGAGCCGGAAGCTCCTCCTCTAAGCCCCCCTTGGCTAGCTCCAGGCACAAGGAAAATGCTCCCCCAACTGGTGCAGCAGAGGCCACGCCCTTCCGGTCCCTCCCCAGCCGGGCCCCACAGGAGCAAATGCAGCCTACATGGCTGTGCTGGGCTGAACACAGGGACTCGACAGCCTGGAGTCTATTCTCAGCCACCAGAAGCTTTTCCCGCAGCCGCTCGGCCTCCTGCCTGCTCTGGGCTTCCGCTCTCTGCAACGTCTCGTAATCCAGCATCTTCTTTTCAGCCAGTGAGATCTGCTCTTTGAGGAACTCAATGGCCTGCGCCTGGCCGCGGTACTCCACATCCAGTCCCTCCAGCTCCTGCACGCGCAGCTGGGCGTCGCGACATTGGTCCTGGGCTTCTTGTAGCTCCAGCCGGTGCTGGCTGGCCTGCTCTTCCAGCTGTTCCCTCCAGTGCTGCTGCAGCCCGGCCAGCTCCTCCTGGGCCTCTTGCAGCTTCTGCCGCAGGCCCTCCTTCTCCTTCCCATGCATGGCCGTCTCCAAGTCGTGCTTGGCCTGCAGGTTACCTAACTCCAGCTGGTGCTCCATCTTGATGCCCTCCACCAGGGCCTTCAGCTCTCCAATCTCCTTCTGCTGGGCGCCTGGGCCAGAGTTCAGCGTGGCCTTCAGGTCCTCCAGGGATTTCTGGTGGTCGGAGGCCAGCGAGTCCAGCTTGGATTTCCAGTTGTCCATGAGCCCCATGTTCTCCGTGGTGGCCTGCTGGACCTTGGCCTTGAGGTCTGCCACCTCTTGAGCGTACTTTTCGTTGGCCGCCCGGAGCTTGTCCACCTCCATCTGGTAGGTCTTTAGCATGTGCTCATACTTGTCCTGGAGCAGGGTGCTGTCTCGCTGGTGCTCCTTGGTAGCCGACAGCAGCCGCTCCCGCAGCCGCAGGGTCTCGGCGGCCTCTGGGTGGTCGGCGGGTGGCGGGCCTGACTGGAGGAGACAGTGTTGCAGCTCTTCAATCTCACCACGCCGCAGGCTCAGCTCTTCTTCTAGCTGCAGCACCCGAGACTTCTCAGCCACTGTGGTCAGCTGGCAGGAGGGAGAGACAAGTTAGTGACCAAGGATCAGTGCTGCAGACAAGGCAGCCATGATGGGGACGGTCAGATGATGGGGAGGTGCCTATCCCTAGCTGGGTACTGGCTGTTCTCCGGGACACTATTATACTCCAAATGATGGGATGAATCAAACTCTCATCGCTTAGGTGGCTTAGAACATATCATTGCTCAAGAGAGGTTTGACCTTAGAGGACCTTCTCGAAGCTAATGCTTTATGTGTACACATATCTCAGCAATCCTCCTGCCTCAGCCTCCCAAGTGCTGGGGTTACAGGTATGCACCACCATGCCCAGCTGGGTAAGCTTTTTTCTGACTTGCAGTCTGCTGGAGCTATAGCTCAAAGGGCCTGTCTAGTGGGTGCTAAATCATCTGGTGAGTTTCCTGCACACAGCACTCTGGCACACAGGTGCCTATGATCACCTGGCAATGGACACTGTGCACATGAAGCCACTGTGTCCCCAGACACCTACATGGCCTGCAGTGCTATGGCCACTATGCACAAACTGAGCCCCTTGCCACAAGCCTCCGACTATCTGCAGGGTGGTTTTCCCGATCCATGCTTGCTGCCTGGTCAGATTCCTCCCAGCAGAGCTACAGCTATTTGGACCTACATACGGTACATGCACAACAGGTGCGGAGAAGCCAGCTGGGCCTGGGGTACGGGACATAGAACCACACCCTAGAACTGTCTGGACTGTTTTCCCTAACTCAGCTTCTCAGGGGCTCCCTAACACACTGTATGGCTATGGCCAGACTCTGAGGCTGACATCATCCCGATCTTTGGGGGATATCCCAACATATAAAGCCCTACTTCCTAAGCCTCAGGTCCTCCAGGTTGCTGCTGCCACCTTAAGAGTCTCTGGGCTAGACCACTCTGGGTCTGCATTCCTGACAAGGAAGCCCATGTCCACCCAAGTAAGGGGCAGAGTACTCCATGAAGGTTTCTTTCTGGCAATAGACGGGAGGGAGGCACAGGGAAGGTCTCCCAAAGACACCTGTGTTTACAGAGCCATGAACTTGGAGGTAATCCCAGAGGACCAAGACCCTCTTCCCCAGGGGTACCACTTGGCCACAGTGAGCTTGACTTAAAAATCTCAACTTCCCTCCCAGAGGGGAGCACGGAAGGGACTCTAAAAAGCAGTAGCAAGAACAGCCATTATGATGGCAGAGGTAATGATTAAAAAAGGCAAAGGGGTCATCGACGGGCCAAGGTGCTGGCCAGGTGGGTGGCAGTGGCGGGCACGGTTTACCCTGTTATCCGCTAATTCTCTGAGCAGCCGCTCGGCCTGCGCCTTCTCCAATAGCAGGCTCTGCTCCAGCTCCCCAATGCGCGCGTGCTCCAGCTGGGTCTGGGTCTGCTCCACCCAGAGTGGGGGTGGGGGAGGGATGACAAGGTGGGCAAGGAAGGCAGGGACGTGGGGAAAGGGATACAGGGAACAGGAAGCCGGAGAAAGAAAGAAAGGGCATGAGAAGGAAAAAGAGAGAGAGAGAGGAGGCGTCATCTTCCGTGAACAAGACTGAAAATAGATCAATGAGCCGGAATTGCTTGGGGAAGAGAGAAAGGTCTCAGAAGTGGGGTGTGTGAGGGGGCTGGGTGCCCTCCCATCATTGTGGCCTAGTTGGGGGCGTGTTCAAGGCAGAGGAGGCCGTGGGAACCAACCCTTGCCAGCCTCTGGTAACGCAGTGGCAAAGGATACCCCAGGGTCTTCCCTTGGGGGGGTTTAAGGGTCTTCTCTTTTCTTGTTAGGTACATTTTATTTATTCATAGTGTGTGTGTGTGTGTGTGTGTGTGTGTGTGATGTGTGTGTGATGTGTGCGCACGCGCACACACATCACAGTGCATATAAAGGCAGTTAGAAGGAGTGGATTCTCCCCTTCCACCATGTGGGTCCTGGGAATCAAATTCTGGGCGTCAGGTTTGGTAGCACCTTTACCTGCTGAGCAGTCTCCCAAGCCCTTCTTTTTATAGCCACTACACAGCTCCGGCGGGCCCTGAATAGCCTATAGGCCTTGAGTTCCCACATTACCCACAAGCCCCTACCTCCTGAATGCTAGGATTCAGGGTGTCCCTACTCCATCTGTTTGTTTGTTTGTTTGTTTTCCAAACAGAGTTTTGCTGTACAGAGAAGGCTGTCCTAAAACACACTGTGTGTCCCAGTCTGCCCTTGGAACTGTATTCCTGATTCTGGACTCTTGCTTGGTTTAGTTTTATGAGACAGGGACTCACTATGTTTGTTGCTAAGGCTGACTCCCACTTCCCATGTATGAAGACCGTATCATGCTCCGCTTGGCCTGGAACTCAGTATGCAGTCCAGGATGCCCTTGAACCTGCAATCCTTCTGCCTCGGCCTCCCTAGCACTGGGATGACAGGAGTGTGCCACCATGCTTGGCTAACTCAATCACACCATCTTGATTCTCCTGGATGGGGAGTGGGCTAACACCCATTGCCCTTCCCGGAGCCTGGCTTGGTCGACATCCCTCCCCCTCTCTTCACCCTTCCCAGATTCTGCAGAGGACGCCTGGTCTCTGGAAGTACAAGGGCACCTTTGTCCCCTCTTTACAACACCCGTTTCATTCGAGAACAAAGCACAGCATTCTCTGGGTGGCACAGGGCTGGCATTTGGGTGGCCCATGATGGATCTCTGCAAGGAAGCAGGGAGGCGGAGCGGGCACGTACCCCGGGGTACGCTAGGAGACCAGAATGGAAACCAGGTTTGTCCCCAGAGAGAGGGGAGGGTGCTGCTCACCCTTAGAGAAACACAGGTTAAAGTGATCACTCCTCCACATACACACACCACACACACAACCCTGCGCAAGGGGTGGGCGGGGCTTAGACGGTAGGGCGAATACTCAGATGCCAGCAAGAAGTGGCAGCCATGGAGACTGAAAGATTGGAGGCCAGGCACCTCATGGCAGCAGTCAGTAGAGGAAGAGCAAGAGGGAGGCTTTATGAGCAATGGTGAGTTTAGTCATGAAGACAGTAGAAGATGGGGTGACCCAGCCCAAAGGGACCAAGTGTTCTGTTTGGGTCAGGGTTTAGGTTTTCAACTTTGTGTGTTCATATGCATGTGGGACCAGAGCTGGATGTTGGGCAGTTGCGTGGGGTGGTATGGGGGGCTCAAGACAGGGTTTCTCTGTGTAACTCTGGCTGTCCTAGAACTCAACAGGTTGCAGACCAGGCTGGCCTCGAACTCAGAGAGAGAGAAAACGATCCTCTTGCCTTTGCCTCTGGAGTGTTGTGATTAAAGGCAAGCTCCACCCTGATTTCTGAGACAGGGTCTCACTGAGCTATGCCAACTGGCCAGTTTCAGCAACAAGATTAGATATGTGCCACGCTTATTTTTGCTTTTGTTTCTTGGGACAGGGTCTCTTCTGTGTAGCCCTGGCTGTCCTAGAACTTACTCTGTAGACCAGGCTGGCCTCAAACGGAGAGATTGGCCTGCCTCTGCCTCCCAAGTGCTGGGATTAAAGGCATGTGCCACCATGCCTGGCTGTGGTGCCCCTTTTTAATGAGAGTGCTAGGAATCCAAACTCAAGTTCTCTACTGATGAGCCTCATCCTGCCCCCACCAACTGGGGAGTTCTGGCCAAGTGACCAGCTGAGCCATGTCCCCAGGGTCCCCAACTTGAGTTTCTAGGTAAGTCTTCTGTTCTGAGCTCTATCCCCTAGCCCTTGGTTTTAATTTATAAATTTTTAGATTGCCGTATTTATTTGATGTGTATAAATGTATTTCCTGCATGTGTGAATGAGACCATGTATGTGCAGAGACCTTAGAGGCCAGAAAAAAAATCAGATCCTCTGAAACTGGAGCTCTAGATGCTTGTGAAGTACCATGCAGGTGCTGGGAACAAAACTCAGGTCCTCTGTAAGAACAGCAGGTGCTCTTAGCCACGGGGCTATCTCTCTGGTCCCAGTTTTGACTTTCTAAAAGATTTGTTTTTATGTGTGTGTGTGCAAGCATGCAGGCATTCCCATGGGTGTATGTGCAGGTCCCTGTCGGGGTCAGAAGAGGGCGCTACAACTCTTATTAGCTGGAGATCTAGGAGGTTGTGAGCCGTCTGGGACCCGAACACCATGATCTCCGAAACATAGTGAGTATTCTCAGCCACTGAGTCGTCCGTCCCTTTTGTCTTTTAAGATGATTGGGGAAGGGGCTGGAGAGATGGCTCAGCGGTTAAGAGCACTGACTGCTCTTCCAGAGGTCCTCAGTTCAAATCCCAGCAACCACATGGTGGCTCACAACCATCCGTAATGAGATTGGATGCCCTATTCTGGTCTGTCCGAAGACAGCAACAGTGTACTCATACATAAAAATAAATAAATTAATTAATTAATTAAAAAAAAAAGATGGTTGGGGAAAACAGGCAAGGTGGCTACACGCCTGTAACCCTAGCACCTACAAGCCAAGGCAGGAGAATTCTGAGTTCCAGGCCAGCCCAGGTAGTGTCAAAAATCCCAACCCCAAACAAATGCGTGTAAACTGACTTTAGCACAAATTCACATTCTGATTGCTCTGAATATGGTCACGATTTAGTCTTTAGAATAATAATAATAAAAATCAACACAGGATGTGACAGTCTTTCTGGCTAAACTGGCCTTGTGACACTGTTTGTCCCGTCCTGTCCCCCTGTCTCAATGCCTGCCAGCCTATTGGTAGCCCTGGGACCAATCAGATTCTCTTTGGGGGATAACTTGGGTGGTAGCAATCTGGCAGGCTGGAATAAGGAGCAGATGTAGTAAAAGATACAGACAGACAGGCAGCAGACAGGCTGACCCTGGAGTCGCCAAGGATCTGTGAGCACCTGACACCATCCTGACTCCAGCCCCTTGAACTGCTGGCCCGGGGTGGGGTGCATTTCCCTACAGCTAAGATCTGTTGATGGCAGCAGGTGGAGAAGGCTCAGCTCTGGCAGCCCCTCTCCCCTCAAGCCCACCCATCTGTCCCCTACAGGGGGACTGCTGTCCTTCAGATAAGCCAGACATAACCACCTGTGCTGTCCCTTTGGCTGTAACAAAAGCACAAATCATAACAGCTTCAGGCTGGGTAAGGATACTTGGCTTTTCTGCCCCTTCCTTCCTTTCTTTTTTGAGTCTCAATTTATCCATTTATCCCAGGCTAGCCTCAGACTCACGGCATAGCCAAGGCTGGCCTTGAACTCCTGATCCTCCTGCTTCTGTCTCCTGAGGTCTGGGATTACAGGCGTGCACCGCCATGAACAGCCTTCATCGTGTTTTATAAGACAGGGTCTTACTATGTAGTCCTGCCTAGCTTAGAAATCCACAAACCAGACTAGCCTTGAATTTGCCATGTAGCCAAGGATGACTTCAATTTCTAGCCTCCTGCCTCCACCTCCCTATGGTGGGGTTACCGGCATGTGCTCCCCTGCTGGGATTTGAACTCACAGCTCTACACTTGCTAAGCAGTTGTTCTCCCACTGAGCTACATCTCCAGCCCCTTTCACTTTTTTCCAGTCAGAGTCTTGCTAAGACGTGCGGGTTGACTTAGACTTGATACGTAGCCCAGGCTAGCCTTGAGCTTGTAATCATCTGGCATCAGCCACCCTAGAAAGCCAGGGAGCCACCAGGCCCAGATCAGCCTGAGTTTGAACCCAGAAATGACCTATGGCTGTGACTTCTAAGGTCCCTCAGGAACTTGGGAAATAGTCACAAATGCAGACCACTGAGTCTTAGTTGTATTTAAATAAGCTCCCCTGGGGATGAACACTCAGGCCTGAGAGCCTGTAAGGAGGAGACTGCTTCCTTCTCCAGTGGAGGAAGCTGAGGCTTGCCTAAGGGAAGTTGCTTTCAGAGGCCGGACAGGTCCAGCAACGCAATCGGAAGAGTTTAGCTCCCTGTCTCACCTGGCCGTTCCAGAAAGTTCTTCCTTTTTCCTTTCCCAGAGACACAAGGCATCAAGAGACACAACAGGAAAGGTGGCCAAGGGTGGCCTCCTGACCCCAGAGGTCTCTGCAGTCCTCAGGAGCAAGGCTAGCCTCCTCAGTGGACCTGAGGCCCTCTGGCCCCTAAGTCAGCACAGTGTGTTTATGAACTAGGAACAGTTCTATTGTATTCACACCCTGCATACAGGTGGCAAATTGGTGAAGGTACAGGCTGGGGCAGGACCTAACAATTGTCTCTAGTGTATACATTCGTTGGTTGGTTGTACCACTGGCGGTAGTCTTTGACTTCTTGAGCTCTGGCCCTTTCTTTCTTCCTCCCATTCTCTCCCCTCCCCCCTCTTCTCATGTAGCCCAGGCTAACCCTAAACTCGCTATATAGCTGAAGAGGACCTTGAACTCAGTTCATCCTTCTTCCACCTCCCAAGTGCTATGGTAACAGGCTTATGCCACCACTCCTGGTTTATGTGGTACCGGAGAGGGAACCCAGGGTTTCTTGAGTGCTAGGCAAGCGCTCTGCCAACTGAGATACAGCCCCAGCCAGTGAGCCCTAGTTCTGCTGCATATAAATTCTTGTGATCCTAACTGCTTCTTCTAGCCAGTCCTGTGTCTATGACCCCAGGAGTCTGGCTCCTATGTCATTAGGCAAAGACCTACAATCTTTCTTGACTCTCTTCAACTGCCAACATGGGGTCCCCTGTATTCCTGGAATACAACCAAGCCCACTTCTAATACCAGATGCCCTAAGCCTGCATCTCCTCCCCCCTCCTAGGTGGAGGCTTTTGATTCTTTCCAATATTTTCATTGCAATCACCCAGGCCTCCCCAAGGAGGTGCAGGCTTGCTGCTTGAACACCAAGACAAGGATTGGGCCCATGGTGCTAAGTGAGCAGTGGAGAACTTCACCGTTACCTCCAAGTCTCCTTTGGTGATGGATTCTTCTTCCACCCGGAACTGCAGGTCCTCCACCTTTCTGCGGGGAAGAAGAGAGGTAGAGATGGGCTTTGGGGACCAAGGAGATAGCTCAGTGATAGAGCCCCTGACTAGAATCCCCCAGTGAGGGGCTAGGGGCGTGGCTCAATGGTAGAGCCCCTGCCCACAATCCCCCAGTGAGGGGCTGGAGGCATGGCTCAGTGGTAGAGCCCCTGCCTAACACTAGAGGTTCCTTAGTTCCACCCACACACAGCATACACACAGACACACACAGACACACACACACACACACACATACAAGCACAAAGGCAAGTGGACATATACCAGGCCAGTTATGGTTCAGACGATGGAAGCATCAGAAGTTCGAGGTTCTCAGGGACCAAGTTAGACCACAGAGTCGGGAGCTACCTGGAATCTTGTACTTGAGGAGGGACAGAGCTTTCTGGAAGCCTACTGTGCTGAACACGAGCCTTCTTCCTCTCAGGATGTCCATGGAAAACGGGACAATTGTCCGAGCCATGTGTGGTAGAGTATAACTCTGGGTGGTCAAGGCCAGCCTAAGCTACATGGTAAGACCTTGCCTCAAAACACCAAGTCAAGACAAAGTCTCTTCAGAGGGTATCTTCTGCCATGTGGCCCTGTCTCAGCAAAGAGGACAAGGCAGGCCCAGGGACTTCCTCTTCAACTCCACTCCCTCCTCAAAGTTGAGAGCTGAAGTCCCAGTATGCATTTCCTGGGCTGCCCACAGATGTAGGCGGTCCCTAGGCTCCCCACTGTGGGAATAAGACACTCCCTTCGGGGACACAGGTTCACCCTATACACATGCCAAACAAGCAGAGGACAGGGACAAGGCCCATCTCTTACTGCCATTTACAAATGGGGTGCGCTGACAGACCTATAAGACAACTGAAGTCCTAAAGTAATGCTACACAATTCTGGGACCTGCACTCAGGCCCTTGGCGAACACAGCTCCTATGATGCTTTATTTTGGAAAAAAAAATTTGTTTGAGCTTGCATACAATGTATGTATGAACATGTGAGTGTAGGAGGCCACGGTTTGATGGTGTGTTTGTGTGTTTACATGTGTATGCACGTGAGTGTGCATGAGGCGGGGTAGTTTGATGGTATGTGTGTATGTACGTGCATACATGTGTATATACATAGGCAGAGGCCAGAAGAGGACACTGAGTGTCTTACTTATCACTCTCTGCCGTATTCCCTTGAGGGAGGGTGTCTTGATGAACCTGAAGCCAGACTGGAGGTGGGGGTGGAGACAAGGTCTCACTATATAGCCCTGTCTAGCCTGGAACATTATGTAGACTAGACTGGCCTTGAGTGGACAGATTCACCTGCTTCTGCCTCCCCAGTGCTGGGGTGAAAGGTGTGTGCCACCACGCTTGGTGGTCCTAACTGGATAGACTGGCCAGGGAGCTCTGGGGACCTGCCGGACTTGCACAGCCTGTGCTGGGGTTACAGACCTGTGTGACCATGCCTGCCATACTGCTAGGGAGCTGAACCCAGGCCCCCTGGGCGGCAGGCACTTTGCCAGTGAGCTGTCTCCTGCTTCGCTCGTGATGCCTTCCTTAGAAGACTTGTTTTTGTTTTCTGGCATGAGATGCATCACCATGGGAACCAGATGTGTGGGCCAGGACTAGCATCTCATGGAGATATAAATAAGCCTCATTTCCCTCAGTGAGACAGTAACGGCAGGACTTGGCTGTGTTCCCCAAACAGATGTAAATGGGGGTGTCAAGATTGGGGGCTGCTGCCAGCATGGGGGAAGGAAGGACCATACAGAAATCAGCATCTTTTGGGAAGGAGGTAAAGGACCAGCTCTGTATCCCAGCAGGAGACCCAGGAGCTTGGGCCTGCGTCTCTGGTAGGGGCTGAGGGACGAACATGTCTGTATCTTTACAGGGGTCTCTGAGTCCGCATCAGTGGGTTCCTGTCCCTGACTTTGGTTAAGGGCTTTTCTAGGAAATCAGGAGTGGGGAACTTCTAATCCATCTCTGGGGAAGTCTCAAAAACTGATGTATGGGCCAGTAGGATGCCTTAGCTAAGTGGTTGCTGCCGAGCCTGGCAACTGAGTTCGATCTTCAGGACTCACACAGTCAAAGGAACCCATGTCCCCAAGTTGTTTTTTGATCTTCATGCATATGTACCACCCCCAACAAATGTAAAAAAAAAATTGTTTCTAATTGATAGACAAGCCAGGTGTAGTGGTACACACCTGTTATCCCAGCATTCAGAAGGCTGAGGCAGGAGAGTTGTGAATTGGAGGCCAGTCAGAAGTACATAAGAAGACCCTGTCTCATGGGTAAAACAAAGAATGGAGACTGAAAGAAATTTTATTCAGTGAAGTACTTGCTAGGTGCGATGGCTAAACTCAGTGGTCAACGTGACTTTATCTGGAACAACTAGACCCAGGCTGCCTAGCATACCTGTGAGAAGTTAGTTCTCTTGTCCAGATCGCTGACGTGGGAGGACCCGGTCTATTTCTGGGCCACATCTTTTGGTGGCAGCCCATGTCAAAGGACATGGAAGAAGGAAGCTTTTGATTTTTGCTGGCTGCTTGTCCTCACTCTTGCTGGCAAGTTCATCTATCCCACTGCGGAGGCATTCATTCACCTGAATTAGGACCTACTTCCTCAGGATTCCAGCACAGACTGAAGACCAGCAGCTCTCCAGGAGTCCGCTGGGACTCCAGCACCACATTGGGACTGCCAAGACATGCAGGCTCATGGCTTCAACAACCACCAGCTTTCTGGCATTTTTGTAATGAGATAGACATTGATGGATTACCTAGGCCACAGCCTGTAATACACCCCCCTCTCTCTCTACACACACACACACACACACACAAATATTAATTATTTTAAAAAAGAACCCAAGACTACAATTCCTCCTCAGGGGTTAAATTCAGCCCTGTGCAAGCACTGAGCTACAGCCCAGTCCTTTAGAGGGATAGGGTTTAGATAATAACTTGCTATGTAGACCAGGCTATCCTCAAACTGTGAGCAATCCTCCTGCCTCAGTCTCCTTAGTAGCTGAGCTTATAAACATGAGTCACTACACCTGGCCCAAGCCTTGCTGTGTTAAAAAAAAAAAACAACTCTCTCTCTCTCTCTCTCTCTCTCTCACACACACACACACACACACACACACACACACACTCACAGTCTCATGTACCCCAAGCTGCTCTCAAATTCATCTGATAACCCTGATTCCCAATCTTCCTGCTTCTTCCTTCTGAGTGTTGAGAGAACACCACTCCCAGTTTATATAGCGCTGGGACTCAAACCCAGAACTTTCTGTGTCCTAGGCAAACACTCTCCCAACTGAGCTACATCCACACCCCATTTGTGTTTGTTTATTTTTATTTGAAGACTGTTGTGCTAGATTGCCCAGGCTGAAACTGAACTCGGTACGTAGCCCAGGCTAGGCTGGAACTACCAATCCCTTGCTTCAGTGCTAGGATTACAGACAGGTCTGTCTATGCTGCCACACCTGATTTCCCTGTGCTCCTTCACTGGGCTCTGAGATGACACCCTCTGGCCCAGCTGATGCACACCACGTACCTCCTCTCTTCCTCCAGCTGATTGGACAGATCCACTTTCTCTTTCCTCACGTTTTCCACCAGCATCCGTGCCCGCTGCAGCTTTTCCTCGGCTTCTGCAACATACTGACCCAGAGCAAGGCCAGGACAGGGGCAAGTCAATTCCAGGCTCTCTTGGGGACAGAAGAGAAGCAGAGGAGGCAGAAGAATCCTAGCTCCCTCTTCCCTGATGGCTGCAACCAGGCAGGGATAGTGATGCTGACACGAGGAGAGGGGACTCAGGAGGCAAGGATGCAGAGACCCCACACGGGAAGGGGATCCTAGACTCCTCTGAACATGGACATAAACTTGGCTTCGTGATAGTTTTGTTTTAATGCTGGGGATCAAACTCAGGGCCTTGTATATATCAGGCAGTTGCTCTAATGCTAAGCCACGCCCCCAGCCCCTCACTGGGGGATTCTAGGCAGGGGCTCTCCCACTGAGCCACGCCCCCAGCCCCTCACTGGGGGATTCTAGGCAGGGGCTCTCCCACTGAGCCACGCCCCCTGCCCCTCACTGGGGGATTCTAGGCAGGTGCTCTACCACTGAGCCACGCCCCCAGCCCCTCATTGCGGGATTCTACGGAAGTACACTACTGCTGAGCTACATTCCCAACCGTGTTGTGACCTGTATTAGCCCAAACAACACAGTGAGCTTCAGGCCAGCCTGGGCTGCAAAATAAGACTAAAAACAAATAAACAAAAAAAACTCAACCAAACCAATCAACCAAACACCCAAACAAAAAAAGCAGAAGTCAGTTTCTGACCTAGAAAATGCTGGTGTTGAAATATTAAAAGCAGGAAGCACAGGTTTAAAGGCCAGTTCCCAACTTGACCTTGGCCAAAGGGCTAAGAAGTAGTTATAGGCTACCTTCCAAGATGAGTCTGTGATGGTTAGAATATGCTTGAACCAGAGAGTGGCACTATTAGGAGGTGTGGCCTTGTTGGAGGTGTGTCACTGTGGGCGTGGGCTTTGAGACCCTCCTCCTAGCTGCCTAAAATCGAGTATTCTGCTAGCAGCCTTCAGATGAAGATGCAGAACTCTCAGCTCCTCCTGCACCATGCCTGCCTGGATGCTGCCATGCTCCCACCTTGATGATAATGGACTGAATCTCTGAACCTGTAAGCCAGCCCCAATTAAATGTCCTTATAAGATTTGCCTTGGTCATGGTATCTGTTCACAGCAGTAAAACCCTAAAAGATAGGGTCTCTTAAAAGAATTCTATGTTGGAGAAAAGTCTGTTAAAATGCAGAATGTTCTAAAGGGAAGTTAGTCCATCTTGTAGAGAAGAAGCTTGTTAAAACTCAGGAAATATACAACTCAATAGCTTTAGGAAGTCCCAGAAATTGACAAGGTTCACTCTGGCCCTTCCTCCTAAGCTTATATAAGCAGGGGAGAGCTCTCAAGCAGGACAAGCTGCCTGTTAGGGACCCAAATCAACTGAACTCACTAAGAGACACTTTCTAAGCTGTTGAGCTGGCTGTAAGATTGTACAGTGTTCTCTAGGTTTCCAGCTTTCGTGAGTGTGTGTAGCTTCTCCAGCTCCATGGGAAGAGGTATTCCATGCACCCCGGAGCCTGCCAGCCACCCACCTGCTCATGTTGTGCCTTCAGCAGGGCGATTTCCTTCTCCACCTCACAGATATGGCTGGTAGCCTTGGCTACTTCGGCTCTCTCCAAGTCACGTTCAGCCAGCAGCTGTTCGATGTGCTGCTGTTTCTCCTTCAGGGCCTCCTGCAGAGCTGTGGTGCCTGAGATCTTCCGGGCATAGCGTGAAGAGGTCTCTGTGAGCTGCAGAGAGTGGGCATAGGCGGGACTCAAGATACTGTATTGTACTGAATGTTCCCACTGGTCACACATACACTAACACAGAATGGGAAGTCTTGTCCTTCCCTGTCAGTACCCAGGATGTTCTAAATTCATTGCTAATTCACCCTCAAAGGCAACACGATGGCTGAGAGTTAGCCTTCAACAGGGATCACAGACCAAGCTATACTGAAGTCCCTCTGCCAAACCCAAGTGGCCTCCTCTTCTCTCCTTACCTAGGATCCATGTGACAGCCCTTTGGAATCCCCTGTCTGTATCTACCCCACACTGTTTACCCAGGGAAGGTAACTAAGAAACCAGTCACATATATAACAAAAAATATAAATGGATCAGTTTTTCCTATAAAGAGATCACACTCCACAATACCCCAACCCCAACCCCAACCAAGGGATGCCTGGATTCAGAGCAAGCTGGGGACAGAATAGGACGCTTGATCCTACCTTCACCCTGACATTCTCAAACTCCCCAATGCTATCCTTACCAGTCCACTACGGCTGGGCCGGCCACCAACAGAGGAGGCCACAGAGCTGACAGAGCTGATGGAAGAACTGCTGGGGCTGTGGGTCAAGGCGGAGACACCCATAGCCATACGCTTGGTCTTCTTGGCCTTGGCTGGACTGGTAGACGGGAAGCCAATTCGGATGACCTTGTGGATTGGTGCAAAGAGACCGAACTTGGGTGGGCACTGGAAGTACCTGGGGAGCATAACAGAGCCACACTGATGTCATCAGTGCTTGGAATCTCTTCTACTTCCTAATCCATCTAAGAGCCCAAAAACTACAAGTGTCTCTCAGGCTCTGACAGCCACACCCCAAGGTGAAAGTTTCCCAGATGGAACAGCCAGGAATTACGGTACACACCTATACCAAGACATGAGAGGTGAAGGCAGGGGATTAGCAGGATGGGACTGACAAAAATTTACAGCCATGAACAGCTCTAGAACTACTGTTATGAAATTAGCTGTCCATCACATACCAAATACAGTAGCAAAATTAAAGTGGGACCTCCCAGGGTGCATTGCTCTAAAAACCTACAAACTATCTGGAGTACCCTGGCTTTAACTTCAGTTGTTGCTGGTCTGCCCACCCCCCGAACTGACTCTATTCATGGGGGTACACAGAGAATAAAAACCCTGAAGGAGAGGGACATGGTAGTAAAGATAAGGAGTTCAAGGCCAGCTTCTGACACATAGCGATTTAGAAGCCAGCCTGAGCTACATATACAAGGATATCTCAGAAAAAGAGGAGGGGGCAGAATATGAGAGGGCAGGACACCTGCTGCTCTTTTGCATCACTCAGGAAACACAAGGTAAGTAGAGCCTTCCTGTTATTATTCTTGCCCAACTCAGCCCCGCGCCGTGTGGCAAAGGGAACACAGAACAGAGGGATGCTCAGTGCTTGCCCGTGACAATGACCTCTGGCCTTAGATCTCTTTCAATCAAATGGGATGATCATTCCCTCTGCCTAGCGTGACAGGCTGTTAGGAGGGAGAGCATGTTCACCATGGCATGGTACAGCACGCCCAGGATTTCTCTGCCACCCTGTCTTCACCCCTTCTGACGATCCTCAGGAGAGCCCCTCGTACCTGGTGCCTGCCACTGCCCCATCGTTCTTCCCAAGGGGCTCATCCAGCTCCACACCACACCACTCGCCTTTGGCAAAGTCCGTCTCCCCAACATATCGTACCACGCCGGTCTTCGTCCCACCAACCTGTTGGCACATGGAGAGAGGCAGGTCCAGAGGATGCAGGGGACACAGGTTGAGCCTGGCAGAGGGCAGATGAGAAAGAGGAGAAGCCCACGGACGGCTGGGAGGGACATGGGTTCTAACAGATCACATGGCTGCTACGGGGAAAGGCACAGGTTTGGACAGACACACAGACATGAACTTACACTGGGCTGTAAGTTGCATGAGCTTTCCTAAGTTACAGAACCTTCCAGATCTCAGTGCCTTCATTTACCAAAAGAACTTTTGTGATAACTAAGTAAAGTATTAATGTAGCATCTGCATCATGCTAGCACCTCAGTAAAGCTCTCAATAAAAATACAAAAGCAGTTTTCAGGGCTGGGGGCGTGGCTCAGCAGTTAACCCCTGCCTAGAATCCCTCAGTGAGGGGCTAGGGGTGTTGCTCAGTGGTAGAGCCCCTGCCTAGAATCCCCCAGGGAGGGGCTGGGGGCGTGGCTCAGTGGTAGAGCCCCTGCCTAGAATCCCCCAGTGAGGGACTGGGGGCGTGGCTCAGTGGTAGAGCCCCTGCCTAGAATCCCCCAGTGAGGAGCTGGGGGCGTGGCTCAGTGGTAGAGCCCCTGCCTAGAATCCCCCAG